CCCCCGCGCGCCCTCGCTCACTCACAATCGCGCCCGCCGGGTGCTTCCCGGGCCGCCTCCGGGACGTGGGCGGGCGACGCAACGCACAGCCCGGCCCCCGCAGCTATGGAGACGCGCGGCACGGCGACACCTGTCCGCGCACTGTGACACACGGCATTCTGACCCACGTGCGCTCTCCACTCCCCAAACTCCACGAGCCGCACACGCGCACACCCACCCACCTGGAGCCACCACGTGGGAGAATCTGAAGGGCTGATCCTGTCCCGGTGCAGTCGCAGTAGCAACGAGGCCAGAGTTGCTTTTGGTTTTTTTAAAGACACAGTCTTGCTCTGTCGCCCAGACTGAAGTGCCCTGGCGCAATCACAGCTTGCTGCAGTCTCGAATTCCCGGGTTCAAGGGGTCCTTCTGCCCCAGCCTCCCGAGTAGCTGGCATTACATGCGCACCACCACGCCCGGCTTTTTTGGGGGGGTTGGGGTTAGAGATGGGGTCTGGCTATGTTGCCCCGGCTGATCTCGAACTCCAGGGCTGCGGTTTTTGTTTTTTGTTTTTTTGCTCCCTCGCTAAGTGAACTAGACTCCTAGACGCAGGGACCACTTCCATAATGTTTCAGCAGTGCCCAGCACTGTGTAGGCACTCCATGAACTTCTGTGGAATAAGTGAGTGGATGAAAGAACGAGCTGAACTGTTCACTGGGTATCTTTACTTTGAAAATTTTGACTCCTTGGTTTAGCTTAAAGAATTTTACTGCAGTGTGAAATGAATTGGGTTTGTGTGTTTGTCTTGTCTAGGTCTTAGGTTTAAACAGATTAGTGTACACTTCTCCTCCCCTATCTCGAGAAATGCCATTTGTTCAGTCCCAGTCTCTAGCACTTATGTGCAATCCTACCTTACTTTAAATGCCACACTTTTTAGGGCAGGAACTGTTCCCACACAATCTGTAGCCTGAAGCATGCTGTGTGTTTACACAATGAATCAAGGATTTCGCTAGTCTTCTGGGCTTTCGCAGGACTTTTCATTTCCCCTTTGTCTAGCTCTCTGCCTCACAAGCACCTTCTGCAAACCTCACCTCTGTCTCCGCCGCCGCCCCGCACCCCACCCCACTTGCTTTCTCCCTGATTAGCTCCTGGAGAGCTAGTTAATGCTAGAAACTAGTCTGATCTTAGATGTTGAAAGTGCTGGGATAACTGGCGTGGCACCGAGTGTGCCACTGCACTCCAGCCTGGGCAACGAAGTGAGACTACGACTCAAAAAAAAAAAAAAAAGTGTTTATGTAGGGGAGGATACGTACATACATACCCAGTTAATGGGTAAGATGTTGCAACTATACTGGGTCATGCTGAAATTGTGAAGCTTCAACTTCTGCATGAGCAAGAGAAATTAATGTATTTTTTTTCTTTTTGGTAGAGATGAGATCTCACTATCTTACCCAGGCTGGTCTCTAACTCCTGGCCTCAAGCGATTCTCTAGGCTCGGCCTACCAGAATGCTGGGATTATAGGTGCGAGCCCCTGTGCCTGGCTAGTGCCATAATCTTGTTATCTGTGATGAGGGCCCGTCTTGGAAATTCAAGTCTCTGGCCTCTGCTCTTTAAATGGTAATCCCCCCAATTCTGAACACCCTTGTAGCTTGCTAAAATTGTAAAAGCAAACTCTATATTTAGAAAATGCAATCCCTGGAGACAGCTTGCTTTCCATTAGTTTGATGGCTTTGTAGAAATCCAGTTTTAAACAATTATGGGAATTGTGTTCATAACTCTCTATGACCACCTTTCTTTCATCCAGTGCCTTAGACTACTTTACAAGAATCATGAAGCCTGGCACATCCCACGGAGGCAGTTTTATGAGTCTCTTTATATAACCTGGTAAGTAAGAAATTACAAAGGTCACGTAAGTAATGACTGAAATAGGAAGCTGACCAAGATAGCAAGGCCTATCCCTTGGTTCCCTTCCTGTTTTCACAACTTTGCTACTGACTCAGTCAAGAAAACATAAGGTTATAAAGATACCTGTTCTATTGAAGAAAAAAGAAAAAAATAATAAGACCAGAAACAGATTACAAAGATGCCAAAAAGTATATAACCCTAAATTCCAGAGGCCAGGTGTGGTGGCTCATGCCTGTAATTCTAGCACTTTGGAACCCATAGTGGGAGCATTGAGTCCACTAGTTTAAGACCCACCTGGGCAACATGGTGACACCTCATCTCTACAGAAAATAATAATAATAATAATAATAAACACTAAATTCCTATTGGATTTATTTCTTCTGCTTGGATAAATTACAGAATTTTGAAATTATGATTTTAGTATTGTTGGTGGACTTGTGTGTTAGAGGGTGAAGATGTCTACCTCAGCTCTTACCTTTTCTTTTTTAAAGGACGGAAAATGGCTTCAAAGCCCTATCACCCTCATTATAAGTACTCTGGACTTATAAAAGAAAAAAAGGCCATTGTCTTGCTAGAGTCTGGTGTGGCCATGTGCTCTTTGAGCCATGGCTGTCGCCATGCTTCCTGGCTTTAGCCCCCTCCCCCACTATGGGGAGGTAAATCTTCTCTCTCCTCTTTCTCTCTCAAAGTGACTTTTAAATAAACTTTTCTTTCTTAAAAAAAAAAAAAGGTCACATGTCCTTTTACCTTTTAATTTTACAGCAACTGCCTGTAAATGCTGAAGTTCAAAACAAGTAAAGAAAATTACTCTGGTAATGAAAGGGTTACTGCTATTATATTGCTGCTAATCCAGTTTTGGAAAAGCCCCACTTTGCCAGAAGCAGGTAATCTAACTAGAAAGAAAAACAAAGGAAAAAAGAACAAGGTGGGGGGGAGAGAGAGGGCCTCTCAAATAAGTGAGAGCAATCACATGTAGAGGAAGTACTCTCCAGAGGCACCCAAAGCCACCACATCAGGAAAAACCAGGAGTTAAACTTATCCTAAGTACCTGGAACAAGCTTAAGGAAATCCCCAAATGCCACAGTTTGATCATAAAAGGAACTAACCAAGGGAGCTAGAAGGAAAGAAGTGAAGTGTTTATGACTGCAGAATGGCAGATCATTTGGGAGTCTAAGGGATATCTTCCTTCCTTTCTAAATGTGTCCAACGTGGAGGAAAAAGTCAGCTCAAAGTTTGAAAGAGTGCATACTTGTTAAAGTTCTAGCCATTCCAAAAGATGAGTTCCTGAATTCCTTTTAGAGCTAAATATTGCTAATAATCACATGGAAATAGTCTTTTGTTTCAAATCTGCAGATAATTGATGGGCAGTTTATTATCCACTTGCCTTCTAGATTCAGAGATCTAATATGACAGATTTCACGTGATTGGGAAGATGGGGGAGAATTTTCATTTATTTATTTAGTTAGCTGGTCGGTTGGTTTTTGTTGTTGTTATTTACGACTGAGATCTATGACCTATGTAGATTTTTTGTTTTTGTTTTGAGTAGGAGTCTTACTCGGTCACCCAGGCTGGAGTGTAGTAGCACACTCGTGGCCACTGCAGCCTCAGTCTGCTGGCCTAGGTGATCCTTCCACCTCAGCCTTCCAAGTAGCTGAATCTACAGACACATGTCACCACATCCAGCTAATTTATTGATTTATTGTGGAGATGAGGTCTCACCAAGTTGTCCAGGCTAGTCTTGGATCCCTGAGCTCAGGTAATCCTCTAGCCTCCACCTCCCAAAGTGCTGGGATTATAGGTGTGAGTCATCATGCCCAGCCCATTTTTTGATTTTGAAAGGCAATTCCTTAAGGAAAACTATATGTTAGGCAACATAATACAGTAAAAAGAGATTCATTCTTATTTTTCTTATATGTATAAAAGCTTAATACATACCTAATACAATCCACCTAATTTAAAGTGTATAATTCATTGGTTTTTAGTATACTCGCAGAGTTGTGCAACCAATACCACAATCAATTTCAGAACATTTCATCATAACTTCCCCGGGGAAAAAAACAATATATATATTCACTAGCAGCTACTCCCCTTCTTCTCCCAGCCCTAAGTAACCACTAATT